TTAGGTATAACATAAACCCTATAACATGGTGAGCTCCACTCTCTTGTGAGGGGAACCTCACTTGTTTTGAGCAATTCCGAGCTCCCAAATTTGAATCGACAATTCGCCAATGGAAACAGCAACAGATGAAAACTACTGTGAATACTCACAGGCACTCTACTGGGTTGTATTTTGTCCCCCACCAATCTCATGTCTATCCAGAACCCATGAATGTGACCTTGTTTGGAAATAGGGTGTCTGCAGATGTAATCAAGTTAAGATAATGTCATAGTGGATTAAGATGGTCTCTAATTCAAGGACTGGTGTCCTAGGGAGGGAGAAATGTGGACAGAGACACACACAGAAAAGATGGCCATATGAAGACAGACGCAGGATTGGAGTCATGCTGCCACAAACCAAAGAATGCTAGAAGCCTGAAGCTAGAAGAGGCAAAGAAGGATTCTTCCTTAGAGGGAGGCTTCAGACCATGGCCCTGCCACTCCTTGATTTTGGGCTTCTGGGGTCCAGAACTGTGAAAGAATACATTTCTGTTGTTTTGAGCCACACAGTTTGTGGTAATGTGTTATGGCAGCCCTAGGAGACCAATACGGGCACCAAGTGTATCATGAAATAATCCCACAAGATATATTTTTTATTTGGGATATCTAATTAGTACAGGGGTCAGGCTGAAAAGGCACCTAGGGTTATAGAAAAAGCTAGCGTTCTCTGGCCTTGGAAACAGAGGCTTCAGACCTCCCATGGCATGTTCCTCCTTCTGTCTGCTCACAGCATCCTCTAGATTTCCATGTTGAACATTTGAGCTTTCTGGATGCTTCCCTTTGAATGGCCTTTCCACTCTAATGGCTTCACCTTTAGCCTTGTCCCTATGCTTCTTCTTTTTTCTAAAAAGAAATGTTTAAATAAATCATTTAAAATATACAGAGGACAGGAAATAATATAATGAACACTAGTGGGTCATCACGCAGATACCCCTCCACCTCTCCACGCTTCCTCCTTTCTCCTTTTTTGCCGTGTTCCCATGCCCATCCCACCCTGTACACAGCACTCAGTTTTCTAGAGAAAGTGAGGCAGGTGCGGAGGTTGCCCAGCCTGACTATACATCTGTCCTACAGACAGCCACTCTACAACACACGCACACACTGGGGATGATGATTAGGTGGCTGGCTGTGGACTTTCAGAAGGGGAGGCAAAGAATTATTACCCTCCAAGTAATCTGAGTGTCCTTAGTTCCTTATTCTTATAGTTTAGATATGTTCTGGACTGAAGCCATCCCAGCATTTTTGCCTTTTCAACTAGAATTTCTTTACCCCCAAATAATCTGTAAGCAGTGGAGTATGGGAAGTAGGCTTCTGCAACCTCCACCTCTAGATATACAATATACTTTAAGTGAAAGACTCCCTTTCCTCTTGAGTTATCTTTCAGAATAGATTGAGCTACTTCCCATCCGGCCTCAGAGAAGGGGGAGAGGGGTCAGGGCATGACTACAAATAGCTTTCTTTTCTTTTTTCTTTTTTCTTAATTAATTTATTTTAGAGAGAGAGAGGGAAGGAGGGGGGAGGGAGGAGCAGAGAGAGACGGAGAGAGAGAGAGAGAATCTCTAGCAGACTCCCTGCTGAGCAAGGAGCCCAACACAGGACTCAATCCCACAACCCTGAGATCATGACCTGAGCAGAAATCAAAAACTGGTCACTCAACCGACTGAGCCACCCAGGAGCCCCCAAAAAGCTTTCTCGGCAACCTTTTGTCACCTTTTGTCTCCTTATTACTGTGTAAAGCTTCCCATTAGAGGATTTTATATTGTCTTTAAAATAAATTCTTATTAATTCTTGGACATAGACTTCAATTTCTCAATTTTCCCTTGAACTTAAACACTCCAATGAGGATTTCAAGTTACAGATTATCTTGAAGGAATTATTCTTAGTATAATTTGGAGTTCAGAAGATCATTGGGGAGACAAACAGGTACAAATGAAATAGCCTAAAGGTATTTTAAAAATATGTTCCTATTCTCTTTTGGTAGGACTGGTAGAATTAAAACAAATGGAAACGGTATGATGTTTTTCTCACTTCTCCTGATTTGTTTTGGACCATGGGCTCCATTCGGATTTAGGAGTCTTTCCTGCTCAGCATTTCAGTGATAATTCTCCCCATGGTCTATAGGATCCCTGTTCTCTTTGTTTCTATAGCAACAGTCCCGTGTTGCTTGGCTAGAAGCAATTTTCTGCTGCTGTGGTGAAGCCCCATTTTTTTCATTCCTTTCTCCCCAGTTGCCTTGGTAACCAGCTTCTCCCTCTTTGGGTTTCTCAGTGGTAAATTCCACTCCCCTCTTTTTTTCTCTCTCTAGTAACAGTCACCTGGTCATGACTTGGACAGTGCTTTCCCATCTGTGAGTGGGCATACTCTGTCATGGTCAGATTGTCATCATGAAATTAGCCTCCCTTTTGCTTTATTTGCATCATTTCTCCTGCCTGCCATCTTTCTAGTGGTTGTCATGGCAACCGTACCCTCCGAAAGTCTCCAGGCAAAGGCTCTACAGTTAACAACCATCATGTGAGAGTGTCTGCCAATATACGGCCACACATCTCGATTTTAAAACCAGCCCCAGGCGGGTACCACAAATTGGAGAGAACAGGCTTTTGATCAAAGCAGACTGGATTGAGAAAAGGAGGTACAGAGTACCCTGGGTTCTGATGTTCTCCAAACAATACATGTGGCTACAAGGTTTAGGCTGGGTCTGCAAAAGAGTGACCATTATGGCAGCAGTGATCCGAGTGATTGAGAAATGTATTGGCAGTTATTCCAGGCAGGCCTGTCGTATGCTCTAAACTTCCAGGGGTAATTCCTTGGGCCCAAGGGATCCCGGTGATATGGCCTGAGAGCTAGGCAGAGCCAAGTAATCTCAGGGAGAAAGAAATTAACACTTAAATTGTCTAACAAGGGGTTAGTAGAATATATATTTAGGTACTTTTACATAGTACCGAAAATTTCTCTGCTCTTAGGCTGCTGCTCTTATCTCTTTTTTTTTTATGATTTTATTTATTTATTTGACAATGAGAGAGGGAACACAAGCAGGGGGAGTGGGAGAAGCAGGTTTCCCGGGGAGCAGGGAGCCTGATGCGGGGCTCGTTGGGGGGGCTCGATGGGGGGCTCGATGGGGGGTTCGTTGGGGGGCTCGATCCCAGGACCCTGGGATCATGACCTGAGCCGAAGGCAGACGCTTAACGACTGAGCCACCCAGGCGCCCCTGCTCTTACCTCTTTAGTGAGGCAGATGGGGTGTTACCATTATAATAATACAAAGTGTTCAACAAATGGTGGTCATTCTGTGCTAGGATATTGTAGCAGGTACTTTTTGGATATAACTTCAATTTATCCTTATGACAATCCTGAGAGGTATTTCATGATAAAACTGAGGCTAAGAGGTAAAGTTAATTGTGTGAGGTCAGGCAACAGCTGATAAGTAGCAGAGCTGGGATTTGAACCCAGGTATCTCTGATTTCAAAGCCCTTTCTTTCTTTCTTTCTTTCTTAGATTTTATTTTATTTATTTGAGAGAGAGAGAGAGAACCTGAGGCGGGGGGAGAGGGGCAGAGGGAGAGGAAGAGCAAGAAGCAGATTCCCCACTGAGCAGGGAACCTGTTTGTGGGGTTCAATCCCAGGACCCCAGGATCATGACCCGAGTTGAAGGCAGACGCTTACTGACTGAGCCACCAAGGCACCCCAAAGCCCTTTCTTAAAGGTTGTGAGGTTTCCTGAATTTCAGTCCTCTGGTCTGCACTTTAATCTGGGGGTTACTACTCCTTTATCCTTTCTGCCTTCCTTATTTTTCCTCTTCATATTTTGTGGGTTGTTTACTTGCTTTTCTCTGCTCTCAACCTATTTCTTGCATCCTTTTACCAAAGAGACGGAAAATTTTGTCCTGCCTTCTGATTGTGTCTGGATTTGCGTTTTGGGATAAAAATGTTAGAGCAGTCACCCTTGCCTGAGAACTGGGCAGATCTGATCATGGAGAACACCACACATTTATTTTATTTTATTTTATTTTATTTTTTTAAAGATTTTATTTATTTATTTGAGAGAGAAAGAGAGAGCACATGAGAGGGGGGAGGGTCAGAGGGAGAAGCAGATTCCCTGCTGAGCAGGGAGCCCGATGCGGGACTCGATCCAAGGACTCCAGGATCATGACCTGAGCCGAAGGCAATCGCTTAACCAACTGAGCCACCCAGGCGCCCAACACCACACATTTAGTTCACTGGCTCCAGCACTAGATAGGCAAACCATTCTCCTCTCCATTTAACAATTATTGGGTGTCTGTTCTGTATCAGGCACTGTGCTAGGCACTGGAAATACAGCAATGACCTAGGCAGAATCTGTTCCTTGCTTTTATGGAACTAACAGCCTGGATTGGAAGTCAGGCAATACACAAGAAATCAGTATATATTTTTATATTGTAGTTAGTGGTATGAGGAAAAGAACTAGGTGCCATGAAAGAAAGAATAACGGGGATAGACTTGAGATAGGACTGCCATCCCTCATTTAAGGGAGGAGATAGTTTTTAAAAAAATCGATCTCTTGGGCGCCTGGGTGGCTCAGTTGGTTAAGGGACTGCCTTCGGCTCAAGTCATGATCCTGGAGTCCCAGGATCGAGTCTCGCATCGGGCTCCCTGCTCAGCAGGGAGTCTGCTTCTCCCCCTGACCCTCTTCCCTCTCGTGCTATCTCTCATTCTCTCTCAAATAAATAAATAAAATCTAAAAAAAAAATCGATCTCTTTAATAAATTGATTATCAGTTGTTAAAAAAACAAAAAGGAGAGAGGAGATCGTCGAGGCTCTGACACCAACTAGTTGATGACAGTCACGTCGGGAGTTTCTCAAGCTTGGAAACCGTGGTCTCGCCCCTCCCACCCCTCCTCTCATTCTCCTCACGGAGCCCTAGGTATGCGCAGGCGCACTACTGACGGTTGCCATGGGGACAGCTGCTCCCGCGCAAGCGCAGATATCTTCAAAATGGCGGCGGCGGCTGCACGAGCAGTTTCTGTAGGGTCCGGGCTCCGGGCCCTGCCACGAACACTGCCTCTTGTAGTGATTCTCGGGGCCACGGGCACCGGCAAATCCACCCTGGCGTTGCAGCTAGGCCAACGGCTCGGTGGCGAAATCGTCAGCGCTGACTCCATGCAGGTATGACAGTGCGGCTGGCCCTGGGCCTGCGAAACCCAGAGGCCGCCTGCGGGCCTCTGGCCGAGTGGATGCCCTGTCGCATGGTGGTAGTGGGTGAACGCCGAGGCTTGTGGGGCGGAGTGGATCGGTGAAGGGAACCCATAATTACTAGATGCCAGACATAATGTCAGGCGATTGATTCAGTTTCCTCATCTCATTTACTTCTCACGACGTTGCTGTTGGTAGATACCATCTCCATTGACACTTGAGGGAATTCACCTAGGGAGACGAAACGGCTTTCTCCGTGTCACATAGCGAATAAGTGAAGGAGATGGCATTTGAACCTATAGGTTGACAGGCGTCCAATAAATACCTGTTGAATGAAAATTATTGCAGAGCTTTTGCTATTTAGAGTACTCAGCGACACCGGTATAAATCGGTTACCATCTATGAGTAGTAGCTCCTGAGGGAATGGAACAGGGTGGCTATTCAGGAGACCTGCATTCTAGTTCCGAATCTGCCGTCGGCCACGGGAGCTTAATGTATCTGTAAAGTGGAAAAAATGCCGCCTACCTCACAGGGCTGTAGTGCTTAATAAGTGAGAGCGTGAGTTTTAGAATGAAGAGCAGGGTCCTGAAGAAGGCCAGGGCCAGGCACCTGGTAAACGTTATGTTTAAGCTGAGATTGTTAACTCCCTACTGGCTGATGGGAGTCAGGAGGCTTTGTCCTCTTCCCTGAGTTAGAGGGAAGCCGAGGAGTGTAATACACCTGGCACCTGGGTGCATTTGGGCTCGGGTTGAGAGTGGGTGACATTTTGGGTAAATCTGTGATGGAGGAATTATAAACACTATTTATTGAAGATAATTTTCAGTTAATGAGTTTTTACAGAGTAAATGAGGCACTGAGTCTGGCACCTACCTGATGGATACTCAGCAAGGAAGAGCATTCCTTCTCACTGTTGCACCCCATAAACCTCTGGGCATGGTTTCTACCTTTATTAGTTTGTTTGGAGTGACATGACCATCAGCACACACGAAATGATTAGTATAATCAACAAATGTTGGTTTGCAACCTCTATTTTGTGTCAGCTTCGAGAGACAGACTTTACCTCAAATCCCAGCCCTGTCTTCTAAGATGTGTGACTTCAGCCTGACCTCTTTGTGCCTTTGTTTCTTCTGTAAAATAGGAAGAAGAATATCAGTAACACAACATAATTGTGATGATTGACGTGATAAAGTATGTAAAGCACTTAATACAATGTATGGCGCATAGTGCTAAAAATATGATAGGTGCTATTTTCTGCAAGGCCCTTTTGGAGAGAGAAAATCATAATCCCTGCCCTCAGGGAGTTTTAGTCCAGCTAAACATGAAATAAAGCAGTTGGTGTTTGAACTGTAATGTTAATGATGCTCTTTGCAAGGTGGATGGGGTAGGGAGGAGAGAAACTACAAGTGTTAGATTTTATACTAAACCATACAATTTCTGAGAAGGGAGAAATCAATGAAGACTGATATAATCATGGAAAGCTCTCTGAAAAGGGACTTGAAAGGTGAAGTTTGGATAGATAAGAAAGAAGAAAAGGTATGTCAAAGAAGGAACGTGAATGAAGATTTAGAAGGTGAACTGGGCATAGTGTGTATGTAGGACAATGAAAGGAGGATGTTCATTAGGTATTGTAGATATTGTGGATGGAATGGGGAATGAGTAACATGATGAAGGCAGTGTGTAAGAAGCGTTCGTTTGTGAACAGTATGCATGATGAATTGGATTTGGGGGTGGGTGTTAGGAATGCAGGGGAAAGGAAAGATGTAACTTTTTTTTTAAAGATATATTTATTTGAGAGAGAGAGTGTGCTTGAGTGAGCCAGGGGAGGGTAGAGGGAGAGGGAGAGGGAGAGAATCTCAAGCAGATTCCTTTCTGAGTGCAGAGCCCACCATGGGGCTTGATCCCGGGACCCTGAGATAATGATCTGAGATGAAATCAAGAGTCGGACGGTTAACTGACAGAGCCACTCAGGCGCCCCAAGATGTAACATTTTTGAAGGTATTATCATGTTAAAGTGAGTTGGTCACTGATTGCTCAAAGAAGAAGAATGCACATAATATGACTCAGGATTCAGGTTTGTATGCCTGGGAGAGTATGGTGAGCCTGAAGTCAGGAAGATTTGGCAGGGCACAGGGGGAGTAGCAACAGGACATCCAAGGGGAAAGACTGTGGGTGGGTGGAGAGTGCGGCAGGTACGACCCCATACAAGGACTCTTGTACTTATTAGCCTCTGCCTGGTGGCACTTCTTCCTCTATTTAACCGTGTGGCTTGCTTTCTCTCTTCATTCACGTCTTTACTAAGATGTCACCTTACTGAGGCCTTCTCTGATCATCCCATTTAAAATAACACACCACTGTTCCCTGTTCCCCGTCTTTCTCATATAGTAAACATAGTCTTTGCCAGGGGAATGTTCCCAGTAAATCATCTTAATTTTACATCTTTTTTTTTTTTTTAGGTTTTATTTATTTATTTGAGAGAGAGCGCACCGGCATGAGCAGGGGGAGGGGCAAAAGGGAGAGGGCGAAGCAGACTCCCACTGAGCAGAAGGCCTGACATGGGGCTCCATCCCAGGACCCTGGGATCATGACCTGAGCTGAAGGGAGATGCTTAACTGACTGAGACACCCAGGCGCCCCAATTTTACGTCTATTTTTAAGTAAGTTAGTGGGTTCTGGCCATGAGTGTTGTATATAGCTCTGTAATAGCTATTGTCCATTTCTCAGAAGTGTTTCTTTACTCATAGCTGTGTACCATAAGGTTGAGGTTGCCAGAGGTCTTGGTGGATGTAAAATAGGTCATGTCAGTGTGCCTTGTATAGTGCTGACGATATGGTAGACCCTTAATATTTGATGAAATATTTGTTGACTTGCCTTATTAAAACGGCACATCTTTTTTTTTAATTTTATTTTATTATGTTAGTCACCATACATTCATCATTAGTTTTTGATGTAGTGTTCCATGATTCATTGTTTGAGTATAACACCCAGTGCTCCATGCAATATGTGCCCTCCTTAATACCCATCACCGGCCACCCCCCCCACCCCCCGCAAAACCCTCAGTTTGTTTCTCACAGAGTCCATAATCTCTCATGGTTCCTCTTCCCCTCCGATTTCCTGCCCTTCATTTTTCCCTTCCTACTATCTTATTTCAGAGGTACACGTCTGTGATTCATCAGTCTTAGACAATTCACAGCGCTCACCATAGCACATACCCTCACCAATGTCCATCACCCATCCACCCCATCCCTCCCACCCCCCACCACACCAGCAACCCTCAGTTTGTTTCCTGAGATTAAGAGTCTCTTATGGTTTGTCTTCCTCTCTGGTTTCATCTTGTTTCATTTTTTCCTCCCTTCCCATATGCTCCTCTGTCCTGTTTCTTAAATTCCTCATATCAGTGAGATCATATGATACTTGTCTTTCTCTGATTGACTTATTTCACTTAGCATAATACTCTGTAGTTCCATCCACGTCGTTGCAAATGGCAGGATTTCATGGTTGTTTTTTTTGTTTGTTTGTTTTTTGATGGCTGCATTATATTCCATTGTATATATACACCACATCTTCTTTATCCATTCGTCTGTTGTTGGACATCTTGGCTCTTTCCATAGTTTGGCTATTGTGGACATTGCTGCTATAAACATCGGGGTGCACGTACCCCTTCGGATCACTACATTTGTATCTTCGGGGTAAATACCCAGTAATGCAATTGCTGGGTCATACGGTAGCTCTATTTTCAACTTTTTGAGGAACCTCCGTACTGTTTTCCAGAGTGGCTGCACCAGCTTGCATTCCCACCAATAGTGTAGGAGGGTTCCCCTTTCTCCGCATCCTCGCCAACATCTGTTGTTTCCTGATTTGCTAATTTTAGCCATTCTCACTGGTGTGAGGTGGTATCTCATTGAGGTTTTGATTTGTATTTCCCTGATGCCAAGTGATGTTGAACACTTTCATGTGTCTTAAAACGGCACATCTTGATCCATTCAGATTTTTCCTGTGGTTTAATAAGTAGGATATGAGACTTAAATTTCTTTCATCCTAGGGATGCCATGAGGGTTAATTAATGTATGAAAACACTTGAAGATTATTGAGCTTTCTGAACTGGCTATAGGTTGTATTTAGTTTTGATTATATCATGGATATTTGTAACATTTCCTCTTGGTCCCCATTGGAAGACTTTGACCTTTGATTTTACTTTTCAGTCCAAATAATGATATAAAGTATCTCTGCCCCGTTTATGTGGCTATACACAGTTCTTCATTTCTTCTTTTGCTTACATGCCCCTGTTACCTGTTCCCCTTGTTTTTTACCCAGAGGAGGGAGATGGTACTTTTCAGTGACCTGATGTTGACTCAAAATTTTTGGTAAGCATGTGAACAAAATGACATTTAAAAAAAGAATTGAAATATAGTTGATACACATGTTACATTAGTTTCAGGTGTACAAAATGACATTCTTAAAAAAAAAAATGACATTCTTAATGTTGAATTACCAGCTCCTTGAAAGAACATTTTCAATTTCAAATAAGTACACAGGCAGAATGATAATAAATTTGTATAGCAAATTTGTTTATAAAATACTTAGAGATGTTTTTTATTCTCACTATAACCTTGTAAGGTAGATATTGTCATTTCACAGGTCAAGGAAACAGGCTTTGCAGTAAGGTCTTAGAGTAAGGAGCAAACCTGGACTTGAACATAGGTGTTTACTTTCCATGCCCGCTGCCTTGTCCACACAAAGCCATACCCTTTAGTTGAGGCAGGAGCAGTGGTGCTCAGTCATTAGAGAATATTTCTTAACTTGTGTGCCACTCTTCTTTCCCAGGAGTGTGCTACATTTTGATCAGGATTTAAAATGTATTTTAGAATTCATATTGTGATAGTGTGAATTTGTAGTGATGTCTGTCCAGTGGAGTGTTGAGCTTAGTGGTGGCCACATGATGTGTTGCTTAAGGGGATAAAACTTGCTGCAACTAAG